GCTAGATTCAAGCCTGCATTTATCTTTATGCAAATTTTTATTTTTAATAATTTTTTTAAAACAATAACAATTGATTTATTACTTTAGAATATATAATATAACACGTTGAAAATTGAAAATTCTTGTATAGATTTTTAATTAACAGCAGAAAGAAGAAAGCAAAAGTCTTTTAATATAAATAGCCATATTGTTATCTGCACTGCTTAGTGCAAATGTAACTTAATTAAATTAATTATTAAATTATATTATTAAATTATATATAGACCGAGGATATGTTTAATTATAAGAATGGAATAAGCATTATTCGATAATAATTCTTATTTTTGAATTTATATAAATTTAATAACGATTGTTTTGCCGTCTACTACTATGTTATTTTTAACGGATTTGAAATCTATTTTTTAAGAAATAAAAAGATTATTAAGCGTTGACAATTCTACCTCATTGAATAATATCTATATTCCATTCCTGTGTTTGTAATTAATTAATCACGAGGTCCTTTTTAAACGGCAAATTACAGAGCAATCTAATGAAACATTTTGCATCTCGCGTGGCGAGTTGCAAAATTTTCTTTCTTTCTCTCTTTCACGCCTTGACATTTCGTCGGGTGCACTCACCTATGCATCGCAGCCTTGTTTACGCCTACCTGTATCCGCAGTGCATCGTTGTTCGCTCGCCCTTTGATGAATCGATGCACCACAGAGAAATGTCGGCCCGCTGCACGCGGATGCGACATTCGCGAGCAATTGCGAGACCGCTGGAAGTTCTTATGCAAATGCATTCTCCATGGATAGTCGATTCATTATGGAGTTGCATTCGCGCGAATAGAAAGGTATCGACTTATGACGCTGTAAATCTGCGAATCGACTCTCGATGGCAATTCTCTCGATAAATTGATTCCCGGTGAGATCTATCGTGCTTCCTACGTTCTTTCTACGGATTCTGTGAAAATCCATTTTGATTCTTTAGCTTGTCAGACGTTTAAATTATCTGCGATAAGCGATAATTTAAAAATATTATAAAATATATATATTTTTTACCTTCTATTTTCGTTAACATGATAAACATATAATTATTTCTTTACTTATTTGAAAAAGTCAATCAGATCTATCGATAGGTATTTGCCTGATCTTAAATTTTTCATAATTTTTTCGTAAATGCATTTACGTATTCAATAAGAAAATTGCAGAGTTCGTTACCTTGAAGAAATGATGTTTTTCGAGAAAACATTTCCGAAATACAATGAGGAATACGTTTTATTTGATCTTCTTGCGCAACATAAACGATTTGTGGGCACGGTAAAGGGTTAAGGGTCATAAATTAAGGGGTATTATCATTTACTCAATCCGCTGCCGGTGCGCGCTCATTGTGCCTTGTTATTTCGTGTTAGAGAAGTGCGAAGATGTTTATCGGCTGGCGGAAGCCCTCGATTATCGTATCTGACACGGTACGTATGTACTCTGTGGACGCTGTCGAGAATGGCTAAGTGCTACTTCGTGAGTCACTCGTTTAACTTATTACAATTGCGGTTGATCCTCATCGTTTCTGCGACGCTGAAGCGCGATGTTGTGATTGACAAATCGCGCGGCTTATCACGCCGACGTTAACACAAATCTCTGAAAATCACGGGCTTTATCAGCGAGCGATTTATCACATCGCAACAGCGATATATCTCTCGTATCTGTTGCTCTCACGTCTGTTCCGTCATCTCTTGACGGATATATCCCTCGCCGAGCGCGCATTTGTTTCCCGCATCACGAATACTAGACTGGTTATTGCTCCGTGCGATCGTAATGCTCGCCGAGCGAAATTGTGTCTCACGTTGCAACTCGGAAGTGTGACAACGACTATAATCTAAACTGAAAGGACCACTAGTTTACAGTGAAATTTTACATATGTATTGTATAATGCTGAAAGAAAAATTACGTATGCTTGTATGCTTGTATACAATACGGATCTTCAAAAGTTTATTTCCCGCTTATTGCTCGGCTAAATATATTTATGTAAAAACTGAAGGAGGAGTCTCGTAATATGTTATATAGTTAGAAAATTTAGATTCCTCATTTCTACACTTCGATCCTGTATATGTCGGTAAATGCTAAACGAACGATTCATAGATAGGCGATTGGTAGTAACATGAGGCCGTCGAGAGATTCACAGTAATAATAATAATTATTATTATAACGATGATGATAGTAATAATACAAATAATAATATTAATAATAATAGTGGTACTGGTACTAAATCGTAATAATAATAATAATAATAATAATAATAATAATAATAATAATAATAATAATAATAATAATAATAATAATAATAATAATAATGACACATGTATCTTTAAAAAGAAGACAGAGAGAGTCGAGCTACTTACTATAGTTTATCGGGATAGATTTACGGATTGTGTAATGTGTCATTGTGTCGAATGGGACATAGGGAGGTTTCATAAAGGGAGACGAGAGATATCGATCAAAGGGGCAGGGGGAGGGGGACAGAGTTCGTCCCCGCGGACAGATCGCGGTGTCCGCCGGGACGAATGGGAACGCCGCTCGGAGCCAAGTCCGAGTTGCATCCCGTGATGGACTGCCGCATGTTTTCCGCCGGATCGCGAGCGTCGACCGCCGTGTATCGAAGGTATGATCGATACACGGTGTCGTTCGTTCGTATCGCGGTGTCTTCAACATGCGATCGTCCCGCACTCCCGGAGATACGCTACCAAGATCGTAGTGCGCCATCGAACATTAAACAACCCTCTATTCTAGAAAAATCAATGGGGTCGATGGGATCGTTCTTTCGTCGCGCGCTCTCTCTCTCTCTCTTCTCTCTCTCTCTCTCTCTCTCTCTCTCTCTCTCTTTATTTCTCTTTCTCTTCCTCTCATTCACACTGTGCGACTTTCACGCTTTCCGGATTCATCGCTGAGAGTGCTCCTGTGCACTGAGTGCACTGTGCTCCTTGCTCTGGCATTCCGACTTCAAATTCTCGTTCTTTTTTTCACACATACACACACGCACTCACACGCACACGCACGCACTTTTTCTCGCGCTTCCGCTCCTGTTGTCTCGCGACGAACTCGTGCCCGCATCCTGATGGCCAGAGATGCCGATGCCTGAGCTCGTCCCGATCCTTAAGAGGAGCGATCCTCCTTCCTCTTCTCCTCCTCGTGATGATGCTGCTGCTGTTGCTGCCGCGCCGCTGAGGTTACTCGTCAAGCCCTCCTCGCACCGAGATTTATTGCTCGGGCTTCGGAAGCAACTCCGCCAGCTTGGGCTTGTTGGCATCCTTATGCTCCTCGGAAGACTTATCCTCCTCGCTGCTCTTGGTGTCCTTGCTGTCTTCAGCAGATTTTTCTTCGGAAGAATCATTAGAGCGTTCCTTCGCCTCTTTGGCGGGTTCCTGTTGTTGCTGTTGTGGTTGTTGAGCTGGCTGCGGCTCCTCGGCGGGTGGAAGTTCCGATTTAGCCTGAGGGACTTCGGCTGCCTCCGCCGTATCTCGCTTAATCTGGCTAGATTCCTGAGGCTGCGCAGGCTGCTGCTCCTTGGCCGCCTCCACTTGAACGGGAGAGTCGGCGCTCTTCGCTTCCTTCTCAGGCTCCTTCTCAGCAACTTTCTCCTCAGCTACCTTCTCCTCCCTCTTGACCGGCTCTTCGACTTTGACAGCCGTCTGCTCGCCGGGCGCCGCCTCTAGCTGCTCACTATTCTCGATCTTTTCGCTCTTTTCGATCGGTTTTGGTTCCTCCACCGGCGCGGCCACTTCCGCTACGTTTTGCTCAGTCTCCGCGACAGGTGCGGATTTTTCTTGTGGTTGAGTTGGTTCTTGAACGGGGGCGGCAGCTGCGCCAACGGCGGATTCCTCAGCGTCACGGGTCACGCGATCAGGCTTGTCTTCGACCTTGGCATGAGCGAGCGAGTGACTCTCAGACTCCTTTGCTTGTTCGGCTGTTGTTTCAATCTTTTTTCCTTCAACAGCGGCAACAACTTCCGCGAGCTCCTCCTTCTTCGGGGTTGGCTGTACCGCTGGTTCCTCCAGCTTCTTTTCCTCCTTTGGCTCTTCCTTGGCGACTTTCTCGACGGCATCATCAGCGCGTTTCTCAATGGCCACAGGCTTCTCGGGTACAGGCTCGGCCGGCTCCGCGCTCTTTTCCTCAATGACTACGCTCTCCTGAATAATATAATGCAACATTAGAAAGGATGAAGTTTTTAACTTGCTACGAAAGAAGAGATAAGATAAGAAAGATTAAAAAAAATTATTTATTCAAGAGAACAAGAAACTTACTTCCTTCGCGATCTGCTCTGGCTCTTGTGGCGCGGGCTGCACAGTTTCCTTTATCTTAGAAGCTGCCTCTTTGAGGACCTCTTGGTCCTCTTTCTTTTCCGCCTCGGCAGTAGCCAACACCTTTGGTTCCTCCTTCTCCTCGAGCTGTTCCTCAGAGGATTTGGGTTGCACTTGGACTTCCTCAGCCACTTTCGGCTGTTCCGGCTGCTGTGGCTCCTCTTTCTTCGGCTCAGTTGGTTGGACTTCCTCGCTGCTCCTTACAGCAGGTGCATCAACCGAAGCGGGTTGTTCGGCCGCTGATTGCTCTGACTGGCTAGCCACCGCAGGTTCCACGGGTGCGCTGCTCTGCGCAATCCCCGAAGCTGTCTCCGCCGCCTTCAGAGATTCCGCCGCGACCTTCTCCTCGAGAGGTACGACTGGCAACGGCTCCTCGTGGTGATCGGCCACTGGCATGGCAGTAATCATCTTCAGCCCCAAGAGGCACACCATTACTACAGCGAATTTTAGCATTGTGCAAAAATATCTGCAAAAAAATTTAAACACGTTCTTATCTCGTGATATTTCACATAATGTGGAATTAACGAAACTATTAATTTAATTTTATTAAATCGTCAGGAGGTGATGGAAAAATATCTATGACTTGAAATACATATACAATAAGATTCTTTTGTGATTGTAAGCAATCACGAAACTATCTTAAGGTTTTACTTCCTCCATTAACTTTATGATTCATCATGTTTTTTATGTTAATGTTTATTACATTGACGATCATAATCGAAGATTGAAAATAGTCAGTGTATGGCTCTTAACACCATCATAAAATGAACATTGAATTTTTATACATATTTGTGGTAAAAATCATAAACTACGATTATAATTATCAAGAATATTGCGATTAGTTCTTCTCATTAACTTCTATCTAACGAAACTCGTTCAAATTTACACGGAGAAGATATTGTGACACGCAATCTTCCAGTTAGGCGAATGGACGTGAGGACAGGCTGTCGTCGCGACAGCTCGGCATGAATGGCCGAGACGAACGTATGAATGGATCTGGTTGTAGATCGCGAGACGAAAGGACAACAGCTATGATTGCTAATGAGAAGAGGAGAATCGGAGAGGGCTGCGAGGGGGAGGAACGAGAATATCGCGTTGGATGCCGATGGACACTACATCGGGGCTGTTGCGAGAGAATCGGCAGGAAGGAGGGAGACGGATGACATTGAACCGAATGCATCGAATAAGGCGAACATTATGGAATTAATGACAGGATGCGTGCCCCTCTCGCTCGTTACGCGCTCGCGTTTACGCTTCTCCACGCATGTTCAATTCTTCTCTCCGTAAAACACAGAATTCTTCTCTCCGTAAAACATGGAATACGCTTTAGCATCTTGCACAAGTTTCCATTACACGCAAGCACTAAGGATGGATCTTGCGTGCACAATTCAAACGAGGATAGAAACTTCTTTCGAAAATTACTAGTTTCTGAGTTACGAAGACATATATATATCAAATTAATTTTTTTTTAATTTCATGTAGATTCTGTTTAAATTTAAATTCTGGATAAATTTTTTAAATTAAATATACTTTCACAAAGCGTGGGGCGTATTGATTTATTCTCCACGCCGGATTTAAATTCAGTCTTCGTGCAAAGAATGTAATTAATAAATTTATATCGCAAACTTTATCTCGTGATCTTTGCAAAATACGTCACGCGAACGAAACATTAGACTATTCCGCGTTCGTGAGTAGGCGTATATGAAATCGGAGACAAACGAAGTGGTATTTACGCGTCATCGGATTGACGTGACAGGATCGGTGAGCATTAACGCTCGAGTTAAACGCAGTCACTGCGACAGAAACAAACACTTTTATAATCTAGCTTGTCTTTCTGCGTAGTTGTCGCCGATTAATGAATTAATCAATGAACTCGATGAAAAAAATTATTGCAGAAAATAGTAATTTGATTTCGCAGCCAATCGGCAGAGTTCTTGGTATCGATTAAAAATCGTAAAACATAATCACGAAACAAGTTCTCAATGATATGCGAATTGAAAATTATGATGCGCAGAAAAAGTCGTATCATTTTGCATTTAATTAATTATAACTGGAAAAGTTGCGGAAAATAAATTATTCTTACGAATAACACGAAGTAATGATTTACATCGTTCCTCAAGAGCGGAGGCTACGCTCGTGGAAATTGTCCGATTACGGCAAACCGGAATGCCCTGTTGGTGTAGAAAAGTCGAGAAGGAACGACGGCGAGAAGTGACGACAAAGACAGAATCAACGAGGCGTAGTTGTGGAGAACAGTGAACGGGAGACGGCAAAAGGATCCAGTTTTTATGACGAGATCGATGGGGGTCTGCGTTTGCCAATGCAATTACGTCGGTGCAACTGTTACGTTCTTGTCGCAGCTGACTGCGTTTTTATATGAATATATATATATATATATATATATATATATATATTATTTATTTA